TTATACAGACAATAGTCCTAGTTACAGTAGCCAAAATATATGACCAAAACAATAAATTGTACAAATAAATATGTGTGCAAACGGCAATATAAACGAAACCGGGAAACGAAGAGAAGATTCAAAGCTGGGGAAAATATTATTAGATTAAACCGGATGCCTTGAGGTTCTCACGTTGAATCATATCGTTTACTGAAGCTACAATCACTCGCATTTGAGTTGTATCCTAAACAAAGCAAGACACGCATTAGACAACATGAAGTTGAGATAATCGATAAATATCTTGTTTGCCAGTAACAAAAGTGACTTACAGTAGCATGCGTAAAGTGAACGTATACGTTCTTATCAACGACTTTGTTCCTTGATAGGAATTCACGTCGGAAAAATTTAGTTACCGATTGAAAATCGTTAGCACCTGCCAATGGATAATGATATATGCATATTAGAATTAAAGTGCCGTTCACTCCCAAACACCTTGTTGTAAATACGCATTAATATGCGTATCATTTTAAATCACATCCGTCGTCTATATACCTTGGTACTCCTTAAAGTATGTTTTCAGTTGCAATCTGTTTAACTTCTTCTTCAAGATGTCGATTTTGTTCAAAAACAGAATTATGCTAGTGTTCTTAAACAGCGGGTGATTGCAGATGGTATTAAACAGGTCTAGCGAGTCCCGCATGCGATTGATTCTAAGATCTTCTTCAAGCGGCTGATCAAAAGCTGAGACAGCTGCCATGAAGATTATCGCATTAACATCGTCAAAATAAGGACTATATAGATACATGAGAAACATGAGTTAATACAAAATGTAAAGAACAAGCATTCAAATGACATGCGCAACTTACGCCCAGTACTGTCTCTGTGAACGATGACCGCCGACGTCGTAAATCTTGTATGTCGTCGAATTAATATCGAATTTGTGTTCGGTAACACCGAGAGTCCGTATCCTAGCCTGCAGGATATCTTCGTCAGTTGGTAAATAATTTTCCTGAGCCAATCGATCGACATTATCCAAAAAACTGTAAAATTACAAGTTAGCAAAGGAAAATGAATATCCGTACAAGAGAAAGATATGACTTGGGATAACAAGTAATAATTCTTCATTTTCTGTACTTACTACTTGGCAGAATCTTGTAATCCAATATCGTTAGCACTCTCGAAATATTTTTGTACTGCCGAATCACTCCACACGGCCTTGACGGACTCGTAATTTGCCAGCAAGATGGCTGTTGCGTCATCTGCTGATTTTAAGCCACCCACGGCCGCCTGTAAAGACAAGGACTGGCGGTTTAAACTTTCCTTGATTGAGCTCAAGCTCAAAATGGCGGCTAAATGCTCATCATTTTCGGAATTTTCAAGAGTAAGGTTGTTCACTTCAAAGCCCTTGGCGAGGGCCTTGATAGCAGTGAGTACGTTGAGATGAACTATATGTCGGTACTGTTCTCGTTCGTTTTCGAGTCCTTTCCCATGGATTATTTTTAGTTGTTTCAATACAGTGGTTTTGCCACTTTCGGATGAACCTGCAAATTTTGTTTGTTTGATTAATGTTAGATGTTCATATGACCAAAGATCGTATAATTATGAGAGATGAATTCGAACATTAATCATTTGCATGTCAATGTTTTTAACGTATCGTAAAATCAAAAAAGAAAACTTTTTTTTTGTCAGAGATATTAATTGATAGATTACCTAAAAGAAGCAACTTTGTCCCCCGTGTTTTTTCCATTTCGTCCCTTTCTGCTTTGAGTTGTTTATCGATAGCCTCGCTAATCTTTTTTGCTTTTTTCTCGGCGGCGATACGCCTCTTCCTCTCCTCGGGCGTCTCGTTGGGAGGGACATGTACCCGGAGAGGATCACTTACATTGCTCAGTTGCATAGACGACTGTGCTGACGACATGATATTAAAGTCTTTTTACTGTTGGATTAAGTAAGTAGTGTATTATTAGTTTGTAGTATCGACAGCGAACTCTTACAAATTAGAGTAGTAATAGGTGCGGTAAAAGATATATGAGTGAAGAGAGAACTTGAGCAGAATATCTATTTTTAAGCAATATGTAATTCACTGCAATTGGCTGACGTCTGACCGAATTAGGGGGGATCGACAACAATAATTATAGTTTTGTATAATAATAATGCTTATTAACCTACTTGTTTCGTATGTTTAGTAATGACAATGATTTCGTAAGGTAATGTGGACTTTTTAAATATAGTATAGTTTGAAGACAATAATGTGCAACAAAGCCAAAGCCACTTAATGGGCACCATTTAATAACAATGAAAACGTCACCCCAAATTTTAGCGTTTGAGGAAGGGGAGGAGGTTTATAAGACACATTGATAGTCCCCATTGCGTAGACAATGGAACTTAACCGAGGTGGTGGTCATGGATAATGTCGAGGATGTGAGTTTCGTCTCACAATGGACGGTTGCTAAAATAGTTCTCAATTTTTAACATGTAGAGCATTGATCAACGGGGGCAGTTTGCGTGT